TAGTTTAGTTAGTTACTTACGGTTACGTTACGTTTCCTTTCCTTTACCTTACCTACCTACCTACGTGTAGTAGTAGTATATATATAATATATATATATATATATATATATATATATATATATACATATATATATATATATATATATTTTTATACATATATATATTTATATATGCTATATATATATGGCACTAACCCACAGCTGGCAAGGAACTCAACCTATAATTATAGTAAATTATCCAAAATTAAATAAAAACATAGAGTATCTGGGTTAAAGAAAATGTGGCTCCATCAAGTGACACTGCCATCACACCTTTCTTAATGTGGCACCGGATGGCACTGACAACTTTTTCTTGCAATTCTCAGTTCATTTTTCAGTTGACCAGACAACAGAATATTTTTAGGTGTTTTCATACTTCCCAAAGGCACAGCTATGCCTTATTTGACAATAGTGAATATTTACCATGTGTCAGCTTTCACCAAAATGTGCAAAAAATAATATTACCATGTGATCCCACCGGCCTTTCTGCAATTTGACAACTTTGTGCTAAGTTACTTATATATATCATATTTCAAAAGCACAAATTGCACATTCTCTCATTAAAAGAGATGAACCTAGCATTAAAATCCCAAATGGCCCTGAATGGAGGCCTCTTTAAATAAAAAAATTCACTAGCTAATATAGGTCAAGAAACCAGTTTGCTCAGGCAGTGAAACATTTATAGCATTTCTCCCCTGTATAAATCGTTGTATGTTGAAAAAGGTGATGATTCTGGCTGAAGGCTTTCCCACATTCATTACTTTTATAAGGTTTCTCTCCAGTGTGAATGTGAATTACATCATGGGAAAGTTAGTTTCATGACTCCTTTGGAATAGTTGTGGTCTTGAATATGGAAAGTCAATTAATCTATTGCTTAATGCATAATGATCAAGAAATAATATATGAAAGTTCTTTGTGAACATTTAAGTGTTATACAAAGGTGAGGCATTATTATATAGAACGTTACCTTAGACTGTGAATTCAAGGAAAGAATCATGCCTTATTATTATTATTATTGTACCAGCTTCAGTGCCTGGCAAAACACAGAAATCATAAATGTTTTCCAATGAACAAATAAACACTGGAAGTAGCAAGGTGATAGCTAAAGCTTCAAGAATGTTTAGGAATAACAATTAAAACAAAGGAAGTATTTGTGTCCTACAATCTTGGCCACTGAAACTGTAGCTTGGTGGATGGCGGGGGGACTGGGTTAGACAGAGCCTGACCCAGAGACCAGGAAGCCCCACAGGGTTGGCAAAGAGAGAAGATGGAAGGATTAGAGCACAGACAGAGGTCCTCAAGAGATCCAGCAGGAGGTTGTGGGGCTTCAGTCAGGCAATCTGAATATGGAGGAAGTTTCCCTACCTCTAAAATGAGTAGGAGAATGAAACTGAATCCCAGTCCCCAGAGAACTCACTGACAGTCAGCCAACGAACACAGGGACCTAAGCACAGAGGCACCAGATAGAAAACCAGTTGTTAGAATTACAACCTAATGGAGCTGATTTAATACAAACTTGGCACATGAGCTACAGGGTAGAGGTTTATTACGAATGTGTCCCTGACCTAGAAGAGCCAGAAATAATGGCAACCAAGAATTGCTCATTCTTAGTAATAAAGCCATGAGAACCCTGGGGCATGTCAAGGGTGCATGTAGGGTGAGCAGAGACAATTTGTCTGGTCCTTGGTCTTCCAATCTATGGATCTTATCTGAATGATCACTGTCATCCAGAAAATGGGAGACAGAGAGTGTGAATCTCCAACTACTGTATTACTATAAAGTATTAAGGACCAGTAGATTCTATATCTCTTATTCACCTATTGTTACTCAAATGCCTGATATTTCTGGAATTCCAAATCTCAGCAATCACATTCAAATGCCACCCCTTTTCCTAACACCACATATAAAGCAGTGATAATTTTTTTTTTAAATTGAAACCAACACTTGGCCTCCTAAGACAACTGAACATATTCATTACCATGCAGGGACTATTTTTTAAATGACTTTCCCATGTCATCTGATTTATGACACATAAAAAGAAAGCAGTTCTTTGAGCCAATTGGGAGAGGAATTACATATGGCATGTGTAGCAACTGTTCCCCTTTGCCTGTTTTGTACATGCGTCCAATAGAAGCAGCTGCATCGTTTGTCATCTGGTATGTTACAAGAAAGGGCTTTGTCTGGGAACAATGACACAGAATAGACATTCTCACTTTGGAAATGACTTTCTCCCTTTGGCTTTGATGTGTGTGTTGATGAATGATTTTGGATTGCCTCAGGATTTCCCCTCTGATGGGAGACCATTGCTTGTTGACAACATTCAATGTCATTGATAGCGTCCCTCAATGCCAATGCCTTTTGTGTGCTCCCTCGTGGTCATGGAGACTGAGATGTCTGCCAAATGAATGTGCAACTGGTCACACTTGCAACGCTAGCACACACTTAACCCCTGTGGAGCTCTGCTCTCGGGGAATACTTCCATTCTTAACTGTTTATCAGAATTTAATTACTAGCAAGCACTTCACCCTGAAAGTTGCCACTACCAGCTCATTGTAAGAATACAAGAAGCCCCAGCATTATCCAAAAGGCCACTCTACTCAAAGTACCTAAAATAGCTGCAAAGTTTTCACAGGAGTATTCACAGTAAGAGACAAGAGTGCTCAGTAGCCAAGTTACAAGTGGTATTGTGAAGCCAGCCTCTGGTTCTTGGCAAACAAAACAAAAGCAGCAGGTCTCTTTGTGATAGCAGCGTGGCAGTGAACGCATGACTCCTTCTCTCCTGCTAGAAGCAAATGTTTAGTGCCATGACTTGACACCTTTTCAGGTGTCAAGTTATAAATTCTGATGGGAGAATGAAAGCATCACTTCCTAACATATTAGGAAGTGCCTGAGGCACCCAGACAGGACAGACTCTCTTTTAGCCTTATTGCTTATCTCTGGTTTGATTGTCTATGGACTTCCTCCTGAACATACCTTATAGTCTCTCATTTCCAAACGTCTGCTTCCTTTGACTTCAGCTAAATTAATCGCCTGCCCTGCCCCACCCAGAGCCTCCATCTTTCTAAACTGTATCAGCCCTTTGCTTTGCATCTCCGTTGTCCCCAGCTCCCTCTGAATACTACCCAAGAGAACACCCAAAGTGCTCTCTTTCCTTAATGAAGACCTCAAGCTTTTATCCTCTGGCACTTCCCAGGTAGAGATGTGTATGGCCATTTGTCCACATGTACAACTAGTTATTGGGAGAGCTAGCCTGGGAGGTGAAAAGGATACTGGGTTAAGAATGAAGTAACCTGAGCTTCTGTTCAGCCCCATTTGTGACCTCAGACAACTGATTTAATGTCACCATGCTTCAGTCTGCTCATCTTGAAAATAAGATGCTAGGATCAGATAATTTCTTTTTTGCCTTTCTGACTTAGGTGATGTCAAGAATCAGGTTTATTAAGAACAGGGAATGTGCTTATCTTTTTTACTGTTGTTGCTACAACATGTGATATTTAGTATCAGTCATTCACATAGAAAGTGCTTAAAAAAACAGCACTTACTGAGCGGCAGGTACTATTCCCATTCAGTTATATCTTCCACTATCTACCCACACCCTCTTCTCCAGTATTCCATAAATGCTGATGTAGGAAAGAGGTAAAATAACATTGTGCCACCATAGAAGAAGATTCGGCATGAATGAGTTTCGAAATGAACTTTAACAGAAGTAAAGGTGTGGAACTAACCTCCAGATGGGTGTCCTACCACCACCTAAAATCTACAAACTAACAACGTCATTTCCTTTCATTCAAAATGGAGACTTTCCACACACAACCTACCTTTTTAATCCATATTTTATCCTTCTTTTCATTTGTCTTTTATCCAACTTTTCATTTTTATATCTATCTAGATAGAATGCGCATATTTTCAGTGGACCTGAGCTTTGGAGTTCTTCTCTTTTATTTCTAAAATATTCTGAAGTTTTCTGAGAAACTTTTAGTGAACTTCATACACCACAACTAGGTTGATAAGGCCTTTTATGATCTGACCCCTCCACATTTTCAGCCTCATCTCATGCCACCTTCCCTCCTCACCCTTTATGTTCCAGTCATCACAGACTACATTCTGGTTTTGAATAACTGTCATTTCAGTGCCATCGTGTTCCTGCACCCTAGTCTAGAAAACACTCTCACTCTCTCTTCTTGGATAACTCCCAGTCATTTTTCAAGTTCCAACTTAGATGCTTCTTTCTCCAGGAAGCTGCCTTCTGCCAGCAAATCACCTGTCAGAGCCCTCTTGGGTGCTTGCATTGCCCCTGAATTCCCATCCCATTCCACTGCAGTTGCTGTTCTGTCCCTCCATGTCATCCACTGGAAGGTAAGTCTTGTGAGGCCAAGTGCTGGGCTGGGTGTGGGATAGGGTGGGGGTAACCAATCTTACAATCTCCTTCAAATCTCATGGCAGTGGCTGGCACAGAGAAGGCACCTGATGACTATTAATTAATTAATTGATTAATTAGCTCATGCAACCCCTCTGTCAATTTAACTTCAATAAGATAGCATGATGCAGTGTGGCCCTAGCACCTTTCCCTGCATCAAGGAGTTGAGTTAGCCCTGACAAGCTTACGCTAGCATCTATCAAAGGACTCAGGGGCTTTCCCCTCTTTATTATGCTCCTTTAGGATCAAGGTCTTTCACATGTTTACAACTCAAAAGATGTGCTGTTAAAGCAAGGATAACACTGTGATACAATGTACGTAAAGACTGACAGATTGGCAGATTCACTCCTCTACCAGCATGCAGCCTCTGAGACCAAGGATTTTTGTTCCTTTAGTTCACTGCTGGATCATCACATCCAGGCCCATTCTTGGCTCACAGTAGGTGATGCACTGTAGTGGTGAAGTGCTGTGCAGCCCAGATTCCTTCTCCCCCTTCAGGATAGAATACTGGTGGCTGACTACTCACAGCTGAGCCTCATACCGAGGATTGACTGCCTTCACTGAAGAGAGCTGAGGGGCCCAAGGTTTCATCCCCTATCCAGAGGCATGAAGACCCAGCCCTCTTGCCTCAAGGTGGGACAACTCCGAAGGGTCATCCAGCTCCAGTTTCCTGTGGGACTGACTAAAGCTCTGTTGTGACTAAGTCACAGTTCCCCTCCTCCCTCCTGCAACTGAAGAGGACCCTGCAGAGCCTTCCTGGGACAGACCCCTCTCCCATATCCTCTGCTGAAGCTCCTCTCTTCATACCCAGATAACAGTGTCTCATGCATATTTCCTGAGTTTTTCAGATGCTGAAAACTACCACCAAGTGGAAGAAATCAACTAGTTGATGATCATGAGCATGCAGCCCCCATACCTTCTGGCACCTAAGGACTGAGCACCATCAGCCAGAGAACTGTGCATAGCTGATCACATACCCTAAGATGCCCCTCCCTCAGATGGCCTTTAAAAATGTTCAGCTGATCCCCTTCAGGGAGTTTGGGGGCTTGGGGGGCACAAGCCACCCATTATCCTTGCTCTGCACAGCAATAAACCTTTCTTTGCTCCAAACTCCAATGTCTGGGTATTTTTTTGCCTCACTGTGCATGGGGCACACAAACTTATGTTTGGTAACACTCTGTCCAGTCTTACATCCGTCCCTGCCCACAGATGTTGATCCCAAAGCCTCTTGTCACTAAACTATCCATCTGAAAGTCTTTTCATGGGGAACCTAAGACACTAATGGATGAGTAAATAAGCAGATTAACAAATATTTATCGAGAATTTCTATATGTCTGGCACTGTCACGGGACCTGAGGATAGAGATGTGAACAAGACAAACAACATCTCTAGTCAGGTAACTTTCATTCTAAAGAGGGGACGTGGATGAATGTAGTTTCAGATAGTGATGAGGACAATGAGTAAAGCAAAGAGAAGTGATAGAGAGGGATTAAAGGTACAGGGGCTTCTTCAAATGGGTTGGTCTGAAAAGGTCGCTCTGATTGTTTCTTGAGTTGAAACTTGTGCAAAGAGCCAGACATATAAAGATCTAGTGAGAGTACTTCAGGTAGAAGTCACAGCTAGTACAAAGGTTCTAAGGCAAAAATGAGGTTGGCACAGTTGAGGAACATAAAGATCAGAATGCCTGCAGCAGAAGACTAAGCAGGATGGCGCTGGAGAGGCAGGTAGGAAATCAATCACACAGGGCCTTGTAGACTAGTAAGGATTCTGTATAAAATATCAGGCACAACTTCATTACACAACCAGACTTTCAATTCATGGTTTTATAACTGTCATCTGTCTCACTTTGGAATTCTTCCTTGTTTCTCTCACTAGTTCAGAGAAATTTTGTTTTGTTTTGTTTTGTTTTGGGGCTTTCATTCTTTAAAAAAAAAAAGGCTGTTTATTCTTTACCTTGAATTAAGGCTAGAATATAGTCAGGCGTCCTCTTAACATGTTATATCTCTACTTATTGTGCCTTCTGACACCCCCTACATATTTCATCAGAAAAATCAACACATGGCTGAACTCCCCAACTGAGGACAGAGTGAAAGCTTCCCCTAGGATCATGCGTGGCTGGACTGGGGTGGGTGTTGGCTACTTTTCATGCCAGGGTAGTTGAGAATGAGCCCCAGCTCACTAAGGGCCACCTCTATAATCAGGTACCAAGGTTATTTCAAATAGAAGTAATGGAGTAGAAAGGAGCTAGAGAAGGATAATTTTATCAAGAACCAGAAATTAAACTATTACCACAATTAAGTACTAAATTAATTCTGAGCTTATGATTACCCAAGGCAAAAAGAACAGTGTCATGGGACTTCTTTGTCTAGTAGAAGGAAAGATGAGTTTTTAAGGAGAGAACAACTTTTTTATACAGGTTCTAAAATCAAGGACAAATTATTCATAAGGATCCTAATCACTGAGACTTCGAGAAATCCAGTGGACATTATCAGTTTTATAAAAACATTTCACACATATTTCATATGGCCATTTCTTATAACAACTCTTGATTAAAAGTAGTTGAGAACATGGTATATAACCATGGTTAAGTGAGGACATCTGGATGAGGCAATGGGCTTATAAAATCCAAATGTATTACAGTTGTTGACAAGAATGTAATCAGATGGATGGTTAGTATTCTCTTTGGCAGTCTGCAAATATCATTCATTTTTATCAAGGTTTTGACAGTCGGTTAAGGCTGGGATTTCTGAGAAGTGCAGATGATTCATCTTGTCTGACAATAGATCTGTAAGATTTTAAGATACCAAATGATGAAATCACACCTGAAAATACAATACTCCACTGCACCATCTCACAATAATCTTTCTTAATAACCATCCCACTCTCCTGGACATATATTCAGAGAATCACAACAGTTCATATACTTGGCGTTCTCTGCTCTCATGGGCTTACTACCCTCCATTCAGTTCCTCTAAAGAAAACTCTTTTACTTTTAGTCCCTGAACTTCTAACCTATCCCATGTTCTTCAGTTAATATGTATGGCATTGCTTTTATACTGCTGCCTAATCTTATCTACTGTCAAATAATCATTGTATTACCAGCAGAGTAAATGAGGATTTACAATAGAACCTACAGCTTACAGAGGGATGAGAGAGATTTTTCAGTACTGCAATAAAATCACATTAAAACTCTGTGCTAAATCCTCCCCTCTTTAAAAATGTTTATGTTACTATAGCACTGTCCAATAGGAATATTATGAGCTATATATGCAATTGAAAATTTCTAGTAGCTGTATTTTAAAAAATAAAAGAAACCAATGAAATTAATTTTAATAATATAGTCCACTTAACCTAATAGATCCAAAGGACCATCATTTCAATATGTAACTGAAATTTAAAAACATTATTAATAAGATAATTCAATATCCAGTGTGTATTCTGCATTTACAACACATCTTAATGCATTCTTAACATGACTAGTGGCTACCATATTGAATAGTATAATTCTACAATATGACACGTCTCTCAGGAAGCTCTTCTGGTGAACCTCAGTCTATAGTATTGAAAAATATTAGGAATACAGAGCTATTACAGAGGAGTCAATATTTAAATTCTAAGTAATACCTAGCATGCAATTACTTAGAGAAGTAATGTATTCATTGGTTATATTGTTCAATCAACAAGTATTTATTGAATCCTTAAAATAGGCTGTGCAAGTTAAGAGGTTTCTTGGTCCCTTGAGGAGTATGGTCAACAGTTACTTCCTGATTGTTTTACAAAATAACAATCAGCTTTGCCTCTTCTGAGTATTCTGATATGGTACAATTTAGTCTCCTTTGTTCTTCTCTGCTGAAAGAGGAAAGGAAGGCTCTGAAGGAACTGGAGCCTACAGAATGTCAGTTTAGAAAGCAGGCATCTGAGAGCAGGCAAAGGAGTGAGTCCATAAGCGGAAATAATAATAATAATCCCATAAGTGCAATCCTAGGAGAGGAGGCATGGATGCCTTGTTTGAACAGTGCCTGGGGATGAAACCAAGCACAACAAGTAACTTTTATAACATGCTACTATTTTTAATTGTCACAGAAATTGTACATGACTTGAAAATTACAAAAAAACACAAAACAACAAAAAAAAAGAAATTGCCCATAATTCAATAATTTACACATATCTCTTTCCATTCCACATTTTGATGCATTTCCTTTCACCCACTCTTTCTACCCATGCCTCCAGTACCCTACCACTTAACGTCCCAGGTCTCACAAGTCTGAGGCATGAGAAAATGTCAGTCTTGTTTTTCTACCTAACTTGTTATGATGTCAGCCACCCCTCTATCCCTACCTGCTTAGCTCCCAGGAACTAGCTGCCTCGAGGGGTCTCCTGGCAGTGTTTCCTGGCAAGTCTGCTGTCTCAGGAACATGCTCCCAGACCCTCCAGTTTGGCCTTTCACCTTGCCACCTCGCTGTGCCCACTGCCCACCATCCTCATGATGTCACTGCTCTCCAGAGCCACCCATCTGCAGTGATTATGTCCTCCCTCTAGCCCAGCTGAGGGTTCCCCCCTGCAGTTGCTAACAGATATGGTGACTGAGTCCAAACAACCCAAGTCACCATCAGCCTTCTTTCCTCTCTGCAGCTGGGGCTACACAATTCCCCCCAACCAGATGTCTCTGGTCAGTTCCACACCTCCTAACTTGACCCCAAATGGAGCTTTTCAGATCCAGAACTAGCCTCTTCCCAGGATGGCTAACAGAGGAACACCTGTTCCACACAGAAATATCACTTTCATACAAGGGGGTGACCTGTGGCCTTATAGCCTCAACAGGATAATCAATCACAGAGAGATGATCGCCGCGGCCCAGAAGCACTCTTCTGGCCTGGGCTGGAATCTTCTCTTGTTTTTTCTCTTCTTTCCCCCACTTCCTTCCTACCTTCTCTCCTTTTTTTCCAGTTTTGCTTATCTAGAATGGTATCAAAGTATTTTCCTGTTATAAAAGTACAATACATTCCCATCGTAAAAATAAAAATATCCAAGTAACAAAAATGAAGAAAACAAAAAGCCTCAAACTTACCACTTCAGAGTTCACAGTTCTGCCCTTCTAACACACTGATATATCTTAAGAAGAATCTTAATGCTAAGGTAACCTCAAGTTTAATCAAGTTAATTAGTATAAACCAGTAATCCCCAAAGCATAGAGAGACATTTATTTACATAAAAGTTTATTTGCTAAAATAACTTATTTTGCTGCTTTATTAAAGGAACTAAAAAAGTTATTTATCACTATGTTAAACTACCAAAATTATGACTAGAAAATTACCTAAAAGTAGAGAAAGAATTTGAATTTGAATTTGAACCCCTAAGTTATTCATTAGTACCAGTAACATCGTATCCACACCTAGGAAACATGGAGCTCTGCTAGGACTTTTCGGCTATTACTGTTTCCTTTCCCTCCTTGTATGAGCTAATAAAAGTAATGCAAAATGGGGAATCCAAAAAATCCAGATTCTAGAATTAGTTTCCTTACTACCTGGTGACTGTTTCCTTGATGTCAAATGGGGATGAGGAAATCTGTCTTAGACAGTTTTGTGAAAACAAAACAAAATGTCTGCCGTGCAGTAATTTTGAAATGCTAGATCAATTGTATGAAATATGGTATTATTCTTAGAAAAAATTAACTTCCAAGGATTTTTTTTTAACATAGTTGTTACTTCTATCAGAAATTTTTTTTTGGTGAAAAATGACACCAAAAGGAAAGAATCGCTTGGCATTGGTCTACTTTTCTATTTTAAAATGTTGAGATCCAGGTGCTTGAGGTTGAAGATGTGGGAGTGATAAGCTCTGTCTTCTCCACAGGCATCGTTAATTCCATCCTTCTAATTTTAAGCTAAGATCATTAGCTTAGTTTTAGCTATCATGTTTTAAAAATGTGCAAAGCTGTTTTTGTAAATAACCTAGACAGAATGCCACACTCACACCTCCATCACTGCAAGTAATTAATCTCAGACATGTTACTTAGGACTTCAGTTACAAAACTTCAAGCAAAACTAGCAAAAGAAAATTTTGCTTCACACCATTTGGAATGAAATGGGTTTTTATAAGC